AGTTGGTATCAGTTGGTATCTTTCCCAGTTGCTCTTCCATCACTCGGCCATCTTGCCCTGCCTCTTATAGACCCTATGTTCAAGAGAAGTTAGAAGAGTGAAGTGGCATTCACAGTTAGCTATTTCGGGCACAACTCTGTGGCGGGGTGGCTTTGTGAACTCCTGTCAACATACTGCAGTCTTGTGAACGCTTCTGAACTCCTGTGATGCTATGAAATGGTCCTATCTTTGTTTCCACATCAGTTCCCTGAATTTCTACGTTCAGTAGCAGAAGTGCGTTACGGTTGCCTTCCGAACAACGCTCAACACGTAGAGGCATTTCAGCTCCCCATTAGAGAAGCAATGCAACGGTCTCCGAGGGAGTAGGCAGACCCTCCTTATGGCATCAGATTTATGAGAGCGCCAAAGCGTCTGATAACAATTGTCAGAATTCTCTTGTTTGTTCGGAACCGATCGTGATCCCAGGGCAGGTCCTGCCGTTGGAGAAAATTTTGGCAAAAAATGACACCCCGCGAAATTTCTCTCATGGCTCGACCTTCTTTCCCACACTACCGGACTTCCTCAGTTTTCGTGGAGGGGGTGAGGGGAAAAGGTCGTCCACTCAACTACAGCTATTCCAACTATCGATATTAGTACTTGTAGAAGACTTTGGCGCGCCGTCAAATTGGGGAGGGGGTGGATAAATATGAGTCCCTCGAAGTTACGCTGGGTTCCCCCAGTACGGGGACCCCGGATCGTATCCAAGAACTCGCCTTGATATTCGATAGTGTCCAGCTTCTCTCTTCGAAACCTCGGCATTAGTGCGAAATCCTCGGAGGCCTGTCCACCACCACATGAGTGGAACGATGCCGCTCGCTTGTAATTAGTAAAACTGTAGTATGACTCACTAACTACAACTAACAGGCATCGTTCCACTTATGTGGTGGTGGACTGGCCTCTGAGGACGACGATCCTGTCGAAACGTCAGGCCTTTCAGTAAAGTCTTCCACCTAACAATCTCTTTGGCAGAATAAATTAGGAACACAAATAACAATTAGGTTCACCTTGATGAATTTTAGGTGGCTAAAACGCCACTGACACGGCTATCACCCGATGCTTAGGTAATAGAGGGGGCGGAGCTGTGATCACTGCAGGGTCTAATTAAGTCGTTCCACAATGTTTTCCACCTCGCGAACGGCCACTTATCACTAGTGATGATTGGACCAGGTCAACTCTAACTCGATACTTGCATAGTTGACTTCTTGTGCTCTTTATACCACAATCCTTAGAGGTTATCTGTTACCATCTCAGTCTGTTTGGAACTTTCGAATGAGGGGAGGAAATGTACTACATTAACTATGCAAATGACCTCTTTCCGGCTGAAAAAATAAACTCGTCCAGGACCGGATGCTGGTGTGCCTAATTTGATCGCTATATCGTATGTTTTTCCAAGTCGCTCCTTTTTCCCATGGATTTCCTATGAACGATAGCAGGCAAATGACAGACCTTGCCACTTCTTTTTCATTGCCGTCACGTCATCAATCGTCCCCGGATACGAATCGCAAATCGTCGAAAATCGTTGAACATACGCCGAATAGTGGAATGCGAACGACTCTCGCGTACCCGTTCGGGATATCGCCACCATGGGAGGGGGAGATCTTTCCCATCGGCCGCCAACTAAGTACTGTGAGCGTCGATCAGCTGGCTTGGCGAGTGATACGACAGCGATCTAAAGCGCTAACAATATCGCCGACGTTCGGGGTCGATTCAATCCCACCCTCTCACGCCCCGCCAATCTATCCACCATATCATATCACTGTTTCCATTATCAACATTTCCTCGCTTCGATTTTCGCTTTGATTTTCGAGTAACTCGTGGTAATCTCTACTGTTTCTCCTGAAGGATAATGAGAGAATATAAGCTGGTCGTCTGCGGTTGCGGTGGCGTCGGCAAAAGTGCACTTGTGAGTATTTTGGTTTTTATTTTCGCCTATTTTTCATATTTTATAACTTTGAAAATGTACAAAACCCTCTCCAACTGGTTGATGACAATGAATACAAAGCCTTTGTGACTTGCTGGGCACCTTGAATGAAGATGCGCAGCGATAAGGAAGCAGGGGACAGTCGTAAGAAGGTCGACCAGGTCGAAGAACTACCCGAGACTCCTTCTTGAAGATACATGGGACTTGCTGAGTGTCAAGGGAACTCCAACGCAGAGCGCAGAGCGATACTGAAGCAGGGTGAATCGTAAAGAAGCCGAGGAACTAACTGAGACTTCTTTTTGAACACAAATGGGAGCTGTTAGGCTGGGGAGGGCATTTTGCACTTTGGCTGGTTGCTCTTTTTAGTTCGTATAGAATAACAGGTCACGTTCTGGTGAGACCTGTGAGGTTTCTGTGAAATTGCAAAATAGTGCGAATGAGACGCTTTGTTCGCAGGAATCAACATGTTTTGACAAGATGGCCTGTACAAGCTTAGCTGAGTACTATCCAGTGTATCCACCTAACCCTACTGTGCCTAAAACGGCTTACATCCCTAGCAACGGTGCAGCATGCCTTCCCTGCTCTGGATCTCGTTCTGCATACTAATGGCCTAATTATTGAAAGCAGGGCTTAGTTGGGTCCAACTATAAAGGTTCTAAAAGTGGCTGATCACGAAGAACAGAATAAGCGAAAGAGCAGCAAATAACCCCTATCCTACCAAGGTACAAGATCATTAGGAGAATCCCATCAGATGTTTTTGCAGGGAAGGAAGCCGTCTAGTCTTGATAGGAATTTCCCGAGCCCGCTATTGAATTTATTTGGTTTTAGACATCTCCAGATATTTCCCGTTCATTTTTACGTCGTCGGATGAGCGGTCGTTGACTTTTTGTGAATTCATCGTTTCATGCGTAGGAGCGTACCCTCCCTCCCCTCCCCGCTCGACAGCAAAATTTTTGAGGAAAAGTAGGGATTTTTGAGGGAAAGTAGGGAAATTCTCGGGAAATTTTGGAAAAAGTGGCAGGAAGTTAGGGAAAATCTGAAAATTGGTAGAAGGGGAGGGTCGTAGTTGTCTCGCGGCTTTTCCTGTTTCTTCAAATGTGTTATTTAACACCCCCTCCCCCGCTCGACAGATCGAGTCGATGAGGGACAGAGGGGCGGGGGTGGTCGTACCAACCCTCAAAAAAAGGGGGGAGGTCGTACAGACTCGACTAAAATCCCATACCAATGGTGTGGATTTTAGGAGGGAGGAGGGGGGGGGAGGATGTTAGGATCAGAAGAATCCGCGACGTGACAGTTCAACGTGACCAGCCGGCAGGGAAGATGGGGCTGTGTCCGATGGGGTCAAAAAACAGAACAGTTGCAACGTTAGTGGAACATTGCCCCTATTTCCCCTCGCTTCTTTGGGCACTTGATTGGACGAGCGCATGAAAAAGCGAGAGGCAAAGACACTGACTAATGGCGAGATGAGGGACGTAATAGTAAGCGAAACTGCAAGCATCACATGGCACCTCCCGGAGTTTCCCTCCAAGTGTTCTCTAACTTTCTGGAGTTTACCACCACAGAACCGCTGCCGAGCTTTGCCGGGGTGCGGAAAGGGGCAAAGCGTGAAATACCAAAAAAGGCCGAAACTGAAAACGTTTACCTATTTTTATCGAAGATAGGTACCATCCCCTTGCTGGGTATCTTTAGCCTAAAACTGTCTCTCCCAGAAAAGCCTCTACACACCTTTTGACAGTCAAGATGCAGAACCTAAAAACAAGCAAATAAGGATGTCAGACAGCCCTCACTGAATAGTTAAGACCCCGACACCGACTTTAGGCAGTCCAGAAAGGCCTAACGAGAGCAAAAGCTACTTGATGATTTGATCGCTTCCACTTCCCACATGAGCACGCATCAGCAAGTTGCCGAGTACGAACTTAGCCTGACTAAACATGACCTGATGTCCAGCTCATTGCCCAACCTATCAATGCAACATTTTTCAGACCGTACAATTCGTGCAAGGTCTTTTTGTACAATCGTACGACGCAACCATTGAAGACAGTTATCGAAAGCATTTTGTCGTCGACGGAGAAGATTGCCGTCTGGAAATCCTCGACACGGCTGGTACGGTCCGTGTTCAACTAGCTAGCACTCAAAACATATATCGATCCTTATTCGCTTATTTCAGGAACAATTCTCCGGTCTGAGAGATCTGTACGTGAGGAATGGACATGGTTTCATATTGGTCTATTCTGTGAATGATCGCGAATCGCTTGAGGAATTGCGGGACATTCGAGACACAATCGTACGCATCAAGCAAGATGCCAATGTAAGTAGAACATCCTGTTCATGTACATAATTCAGCAAAGGGATTTATATAAAGCGGCGGCGGTGCTGTCCAGGATATACGAGTGCACACCTATCGTAGCGGTTATTGGCAAGATGCCTACGGAAAACTCGTCCGAAATTGCTTTTTGAGTCATAAGAACGAAGGCTTTTCTTCGCAGGTTTTTGACCGTTTCACTTCGTTTTTTCGCCATTTTCCACTATATAGCAGCCTGCTAGCATTTTAGACCGAGTACCAAATTATCGTGTCACATGCCTTTAAATTCGATTCGGTGAACCTTCGCCTTGTTGAAAGAGTGGGTACTTGTGGATTTGTTGGGATGAAGTCTCGATCTATTTAGCAGTTGCTAGGGTGGGCAGCCTATTGTAGCATTGTCCGTCTTTCTGAAGGAACTCATTCTGGAGAATTCATAAAATATTTACGCGCTTGATGTAGAATAGTCCACGAGCGATTTTTATTTATTACTAGGCATAAATGATGACTGTGACTTCATGGAGCCTTCCAAGATTGTTAAGCCTTTTATTAGGCTGACGTTTCTGCTTCTTGGCCTTTACCAGAGCCTGAAAAAGTCGGAAACATTTGAAAATGGCCCGCTCGAGAAGCTAAAATATCTCAGAAACAATCCCGCTACACTAGTACACCATTGCTATCACTACTAGTTAGCAACCGTCGTAGAAAGCCACCAATCTTTGCTAGATCGGTTACGTGACAACTAAACATTTGGTGGGGGTCCTGCTGCGAAAGGCCAGAGCGCAGAGAAACAAAGAACTGCGGGCGCTAAGGCATCGAGAGGTATAAAAAACATATCGCGAGCCAGGAGATGATTTTCCCCAAAGGGAGAGGACACCGGGGTGGATGAGCCACTTATCATGCGTGAAAAGTTGGAATGTGGAAGTTCTCAGCGGTCACAGAACGCCATGAAGACGTGAGGGCGCAGAGAAAAACAGAAATTTGGCGCCATTGAAGGGATTGAGTTTTAGTTGTCCGTAGACCTGCTAGATCTCTGTCGCCGAAAAAGTGACGCAAAAACAATCGTTATTTGTCGCGTGGCCTCTTGCTGCGTATCGTGAGGCCATGCTCGTCAAATTCTCGATGGGCGCCACATTGTCGACTGGGTCAGCGGAACTCATATGAACTCAAGCGAAGCCACATCATAACTTGCGAGCTCATATTCTAAGCGCCAGTCAGGGAAAATTCGTCTGTTGAGCGCGGCGTCGCTCGCGCCATGCCTGTCAGCGTGGCATATTACGATTCTCTTGTCACATACCACGAAAAGCGAGGTCAATCAGCTGTGACATGGGGCATATTCGTTGGAATTTTCTCAACGCAGAAAAACCAATGTTGGGGGTCGGTCTCACTCGCTTTTCGGCTACTAGGATCTAGGCAAGGCAAAGCAGCCGAAACGTCAGCCTAATCTAGGAGTTTGACAATCTTTTGATAATCTTAGAAGGCTACACCAGGGCATAATAGCATTCGAGCACTCGTTCCTTTACCACATTGTCCCATCGCATCGTAGAAAAGAAAATCTCTTTTCTCTTGGAAGTAAATTGCACTTTTGCGCTTTTTTTCAGAAAAAAATTTTGTTTTTTGAACATGCTTTCCCATGTTGGTCTCTTAATTGTGCACCAGTCTTAACAGGAGATATTCAGTAGATCCTGTCTTTCAAGGGAAATAATTTCGCGAGAATCTGACTCGTTCCAGAAGTAGTATAACTTGACTCGAGGTTGCCATGCCATTTTCTCTTATAGAGTGCATGTTACATTGAACGCCCCTAGGACCAGAAAGAGGTGCCGGGCGATTCTACCGTCGGCTACTTGGGTCACGCTGCTCACGTCGCGTCGCGGCGAGCCGCGCGCAGGTGGCGCGACAATCTCCGTGTTGCATTACCGTATCCATAAGTTGTCGTTGGAGCAAGAGATTAGCATTGTTTCACGGCGTCCTCTTTTAACACTCTGGAATGAATTGCTAGTTCGATTTCAACTACTATAATAGCACCTATCATTCATTATTCACTGCTGCGGTGTCGATATTCGCTACCATCATTTGGGGGGGGGGATTCTATGTAGTTTCTACTTGGTTTTTACTGAATGTAATCATTTTTTGCGGTTTTTACCCCACGTCAAAATTTTGATGGAATCTATTGGTTTATCGGTAATTAGGTTTAGTGGGCCCAATACCAATACAGCCGGGGGGCACTGTGTCCTGACAAAGTCAGTTGAAAAGTCGACAAGCCAATGAATTCATTTTTGTTGCCATTAGCGCTCTCCTCAAAAAACGTGTTGGACAACTTTAAATACTACGGCCTCTTTTTAGAACGGTGGTCATACCTTTGGACTGTTGCTACACCCTACAATCATCTCCCATCGTGCTGTTCCCTCCTTAACAACAGGTTTCGATGAGGGAGAATTCCTATGTGAAGGAGCATTTTCTACTGTGGCCAAATGAAAAACTTGGCAGCTCAAAGAATATCACCATCTTTCAGCCTCTAGCCTTTACATACTTCTTGGGACCTGTGACGAGTGCAAAGTGAATTATTGCGAGGAGTAGTCTTGATTGAGCCATCCAAGATTAGTAAAGTCGTCATTCGGGCAGTTGATTAGGCGGTCAAAGGGTCGCAGACGCGGCTGCGGCGCGTCACGACCGCGGCGATCAGCTGTTTCCAGCCTATTTAGCCATTTTCTCCCTAATTTTCACTGTTTTTGGCTGCTTTTCTTAAGGTTAGTTGTTCCTTGCCTTCACAAGGTAAATTATGATTGAGATTTCTCTAATTTTCGCGAACAATTAAATAATTAAACAAACAATTAAACAAATACCTAGAAAAATCGCAAAAACACTTCATTACAAAAGCAAAAAAGGGACCCACGTCCTAATATACCTCATACAGAC